ACACTTCTGAGGGACAAACTACGGGAAACTAAGTGACATTTCTACGCAAAGATCGGCGACACTTCTGAGCAACACTTCAATTCACGGTGTTTACACATTGTAAATACATATGCAAGCAGCGCTTCTGAGCGACACTCCTGAGCGACAGTGCGGGTGACATTTCTAGCGACACTTCTGTACACGCACTTCTTTACGCACATCAGCAACACTTCTGAGCGACACTCCTAAGCGACGATTCGAGCACTTCTGAGACTTCTGAGCAACACTTCTGATCGACACTTCTGAGCAACACTTCTGAGCGACACTTATCAGCGACGCCTCTGAGCAGCACGTCTGATCGACACTGTTGAGCAACACTTCTGATCGACACTTCTGATCGGCATTGCTGATCGACGCTTCTGATCAACACTTCTGAGCGATGCGACACTTCTGAGCAACACTTCTGAGAAACACTTCTGATTGGCACTGCTGAACGATTCTGATGAAGACCTCTGAGCAACACTTCTGAGCAGCACTTCTGATGGACACTGCTGATCAACACTCTGAGCGACACTCCTGAGAGACAATTCTGAGCGACACTTTTGATCGACACTTCTGAACGATGCTTCTGAGCAACAAACGAGACACTCCTATAGTCGACACTTTCAATCGACACTTCTGAGCGACACTTCTGCTCAAGCTTCTGAACGACACTTCTAGTCAACACTTCTAGTTGACACTTCTGATCGACACTTCGGAGCGACACTTCTGAGAAACGCAGCTTGTCACGTTTCTCGCCACGTCTTAACGCGCACCGTGCCACAGCGAGAGCGAATCGACCCACCCACATTGCGCAGAGGGTTCAGCTTGCGCTCTCAGAATGCGCACCGCGCCACAGCGAAAGCGATTCGACCCAGCCGCAGCGAGAGCAATTCGACCTACTCAAAACGATGTGCCTGCCACGAAGCTTGCACGACAAGCTCCGAATTGCTGCGCCTGCCACAAAAATCAAGCGAAACGCTCTAAAGTGCTGCGCCTAAAGAAAGCTTGCCAGGAACTCAAAATCCTCCAAACTGCTGCACCTGCCACGAAATCCATCTTTGACACGTTTACGACACGCATCCAAAACTAGCCCGGGACCCTGGCGCCAGAATGATTTCGACCAATTTTGATGCGTTTCAAGCTCATCAAAACGAGCCGATTGTACGGCAGGGCGAACGAAAACGACGCCGGGGCAAACACTATCACGCGCTGCCAAGCAAGACACCTCAAAACAACCACACCCGGAACGCAAATCCCAATGGCACGGCAACGAGAACACTACCGCCTTCCAACACACTGCGCCTGCACAGCGAAATGACACGCAACGCTGCAAAAGACACGATTCTCGCATGGGCGCAACCCATTAATTCAGCGCTTCAACACTCATCGAAATGATTTTTTGCGTCAATCCCAATGGCACGCGCTTCTCGCCTCACCGCGAACGGTTGCGAACGGTTGCGAACCTCCTCGCAAACACGGCCTGCACCCCCAGACCCCCACACACAAACGGGAATCTTTGCTACGCATTCGGGAAAAAACAGAGTGTGGTCGTGACTGAATACAATGAAGCTAGCCCACCAAAGCAAGTGGCGAGGAGAAACTAAGTTGCTGCTGGCTCGTTGGCGAGATGACTGCCTGGCTAGATAGCTTTCTGTATACTGCTTGGGGATGCAGCACACGCAGAGTCCAAATGCAGCGTCAACCTTGCGCCATACCAATTTGGTGACTTGCAGCCGCCCTTCCGACGTAGGACACCAGCGCTGCAAAGGGCTACGATCCTTCACTTCAATCAGTGCAGCGGATCTTCGTACAACTGCCTCTAGTATATACTGTACACATTGGCAGCTCTGGCTCAAAAGTCGCGACTTTTTAGTACATACGCTTTGCCAGCTCCGGCTCGAAAGTCCCAATTTTCCTCAATTTTCAGTGCAAGTGTAGTAAAGGAAATGCACTATGGCAGCTTCAGCTCGAGAGTCGCGACTTTGAAGTTCAACTGTAGGAAAGGAAGTGCCTTGGCAAATTATATTTCCCTTGCACAAGGGTAGTCCCGTGCACAGAACCGTGTTGCTGAAGGTATCGTATATTCTCTCGTAACCCTGCCGCTCAAATGTGCACGTACATATATATGCATATAGATATACCTGTGGCGGGTGCATCTCAAGCTTTTCGTCCGGACCCTTAGCAAGATTATTTTTGCACGCCAAAGATACATATATTTTCCAACACATGGCTGCCAATGTTGGAAGGGACGTAGACAAGCACATTAACTACTAACCTTCCTCCTCAAATGCCCTTTGCTGTGTCCCAAGGATAAACTTGCTCCAGTATGCTATTTCCACTGTCCAACGTTCCTGTATGCGCACGTTACGTCTATAGGAAATTCCATGTAACCAAAATAGCCAATTGATTTCGTTTATCGGTGAGTCCCCATCCTATCATGTACAGTCTGGAAACTGGAAATGCCTAGAATTAACTGGCCTCACAGAGCCTCAGGACAAAAGGAGCTGAGAGCTGGGGAGAGGAGAGGTAACCTGCGGTCAGCCAACAGTCAAATCTGCTAGCCATCACGCGGCGCTCTCTTTCATCTTCAATGATTGAAAAATCATTTTGGCTGGGTGAAAAGAATGCAGGCATGTAATTAAACGTCCATCACCCTCCATCCTATGCCAAGGAGTTCTTTTCCTGAAGAGTGACAAGAGATGAACGGTAACATGGCCTTCCCTCACCTTCATTTCGTCAAAGGAAGTTTAGAAGGAACTTCCTTCCGTGTTACGGCAACTAATTGAAAGCCAGCTCTCGCTGAGACAGATGAAGAGAAGGAATAAGCGCGCGAGAAAATATGTGCGCACGTGTGGTGGGAGTATAGAAAGCTGCAAAAAGCATGGCCCCGTGCGTGAATTGGAGTCTCCGGAGAACCGAAAGCTAGCCTGTTCGCGGCGCCTGGTCGGACCACTCTCGGAGCGCGTTCGGAGCGCGTTCGGAGCGCGTTCGGAGCGCGAGCCCATTGGCACGGCAACGCGAAGGTTTCGCCAGGATTGAATTGCGTGGCAGGCGCAGCACTTTCGCAAGGTCAGGTTCAGATTTCGTGGCAGGCGCAGCACTTTCGCAAGGTCAAGTTTTCCCAAAGGTTTGAATGGCGTGGCAGGCGCAGCACTTTCGAAAGGTCAGGTACAGATTTCGTGGCAGGCGCAGCACTTTCGCAAGCTCAAGTGCAGTTTTCGTGGCAAGCGCATCACTTTCACAAGGTCAATTAAAGATTTCGTGGCAGGCGCAGCACTTTCGCAAGGTCAAGTACAGATTTCGTGGCAGGCGCAGCACTTTCGCAAGGTCATGTACAGATTTCGTGGCAGGTGAGCACTTTCGCAAGGTCAATCACAGATTTCGTGGCAGGCGCAGCACTTTCACAAGGTCATGTACAGATTTCGTGGCAGGCGCAGCACTTTCGCAAGGTCAAGTGCAAAATTCGTGGCAGGCGCATCACTTTCGCAAGGTCAAGTACAGATTTCGTGGCAGGCGCAGCACTTTCGCAAGGTCAAGTACAGATTTCGTAGCAGGCGCAGCACTTTTGCAAGGTCAGCTTTCGCAGCCGGGGCTCGAACGTCGCAACTTTTAAGTACGAAAGTAGTACGCGAAGTCAACTTTCGCAGCTGGGGCTTGAAAATCGCAACTTTTAAGTACGAAAGTAGTACGCGAAGTCCACTTTCGCAGCCGGGGCTCGAAAATCGCAACTTTTAAGTGCGAAAGTAGTACGCGAAGTCCACTTTCGCAGCTGGGGCTCGAAAATCGCAACTTTTAAGTACGAAAGTAGTACGTGAAGTCCACTTTCGCAGCTGGGGCTTGAAAATCGCAACTTTTAGATGCAGATATAGATGGATAGATAGATAGATCGATAGACAGACAGAGGGATACATAGAGAGATATAGAGATACATAGATAGAGATAGATAGATAGAGAGATAGACAGATAGATAGATAGATAGATAGATAGATAGATAGATAGATAGATAGATAGATAGATAGATAGATAGATAGATAGATAGACACGCGGGAGATAGATGGAGAGATAGATAGATAGATAGATAGATAGATAGACACGCGGGAGATAGATGGAGAGATAGATGGATAGATAGATAGATAGATAGATAGATGGATAGATAGATAGATAGATAGATAGATAGATAGATAGAAAGAGATAGAGAGATAAACAGAAGAGATAGAGAGATAGAAAGATAGAAAGAAAGAGAGATAGAGAGAGAGATGGAGAGATAAATAGTTAGATAGATAAACCAACAGAAGATAGATAGACAGCTAGATAGATAGTGATAGATAGAGAGATACATAGATAAATAGATAGAAAGAGAGATATAGATAGATAGATAGATAGATAGATAGATAGATAGATAGATAGATAGATAGATAGATAGATAGATAGATAGATAGATACATACATAAATAGATAGAGAGATAGATAGATAGATAGATAGATAGAGATAAAAAGATAGACAGATACAGAGAGAGAGAGAGAGAGATCGAGATAGGTAGATAGATAGATAGATTAAACAAGAGATAGATAGATGGAAAGATAGTAAGATAGAAAGAAAGATAGATAGATAAATAGATACATAGACAGAGAAGAGACAAAAGAAAGAACAGCACAAAAGCAAGCAAACGAAAGAAAGAAAGAAAAGACAGATAGAAAGAAGGAAAGAAGGGAGGAAGGAAGGAAAGAAAGGAAGAAAGGAAGAATGACGGAGAAAAAAGAAACAATGAAAAGGCAGAAGAAGAGAGAAGAGTCAAGAAAAGAAAGAGAAAGAGAACTAGAGTTTTTAAATTTTTTAAACTTCCGCCCACCAACTTCGCCGGCTCTACTGGTATATATATATACATATTTTATTTGGGGGAGGAGGAAGGGGACGGTACTATCAAAAGGCCCCTGCTTAAGGTGAACAACTCCACTCGGCCGCGAGGTGCCGAGAGCGCCTGCAGCGCCACCGCCACATCCCCAGGCTGCCCTGAGGAGGGCGCCGTGCGTTCGCCTCAAACCAAACAACCTGAGAACCACCACAAATCTTGGAGGGGGGGATTTCCTCTTGAACGACTTGACGCGCCTGAGGCTTGTGGTTTTAAAGGAAACCACTAAGAACACCACCAGTGGGGGGGGGAGGGGGCCTCTAAAAAATCGAAGTGTGACGCACCCCTGTCCCGAAAAAAACACGCCTCTGCTCAGTTTAGGATGTGCCCGTGCCAATCTGCCGGGGAGATTCCGACATCAAGGCCTCCTATAATTCCGCCCTCCAAACCCAAAAAATGAGGATCCTCCGTTCTGGCCCCGTGAACGAAGCTGGTCTCATAAAGACTCAACAAACAAATATGACATTATTAAATATGACATTTGTTGCGTTATATAACTGTAGGCCATCGCCATACTTTCTTTGATAGCACCGAACTTGGAAACCTAAAGCCCAAATCTCTACAAGGGCGTTATGCCCAAGCTGAGCAGAAAGGTCCCTCAGCGACCGCTATCACAGCCCACCGAGTTGTCGCAAATGACACTGCAGACTGGGCCAATACAGACTCAGATTGAGCACTTTGCAAGGGCCCGGGCTGGAAACGCGGCTTGGGCTACACACACACACGCCCTTCTTGAAAGGGCCAAGCCCCAATTATGTTTTTTTGCGCCCAAGAGGACATGGATGGATATGCTGCAGTCTGCCAAAGAAAAGGCCGAACATGCAAGATACCCCCCAAAAAAAAAGACGTGCCATGGATGCTAGAGGCCGTTGTTTTGCATAGGGTTTGGGTTGGGATCGGCCAGCATTTTCTACACTAGGAGGGTTGTAGACCTCAGTTGGACTTTGGGCTTTGATCCCAAGCTGCCTCTCAGCTGCCATATCAGCGGTCAAAATGTGCGACAATGGCCAGGGGAAAAATGGGGCCCGTCCGGCCGTTGTGGGAAACTCCGGTCTGCCCTCTATATGCCCCCCAAAGCAACAGTAACCGAACACGTTGTCAGTTGCTCATCTTGTAAGTCTCAAAATTGTCTACCCTAGAGACCAACATATGGGTCTGTCATTTTTTGATGGTACTGTACCCTTTTTGGGGTGGCTTCAAACGGAAACCAAGGGGAAAACCACCATTTTGGGGGTCCGATTCCTAAAAAAAGACGAGCCACCCGCATGTTCTGAGGAGGACCCCATGTAGCGACGCGTGCGCGAAACTCCAACGAAGGCCCAAGTGGCAGGTGTGGAGGTTGGGCAGCACAGAGGCCACCTTCCTGCTCTCAGACGCGAGGCGCTTGCTTGTTGCGAGATGTGCGTGGCAAAATGACCCCAAGCCCCAAGTCACCATCTCATGTTCGTGGTAACATGACCCCAACTGAAGTGGGAATCAGCCCCAAGTCACCACCTGGGCAATGCTTTTGACAAACAAGCCCCAGGTCTGCGAGAAAGTGGGCCGTCCCCAGTACGGATTCGCCGCTAGGGAACCGCATGTCCGATTCACCAATCACAGGGCGGCCCAAGCCGACTTCACAAGGCGATTGGATGGGGGCCACAATGACCATTCTCCAGGATGGGGCTGAGCCCTCACAAATCTCATAACGTGCTGAAACCACTTTTTGCTCAAACAACCTTTGTCGCATGCCCGAAGGACCCGGGAAAAAGAAAGGTTGACCTTTTGGAACCTTGACTAAACATGGACCAAACAAGGGAAACCCAAAAGGTCAAAAGGTCAATTCGCTTTGGGCAACTGAGCTCCTTTCGGTTTCCATGTCCAGGGGATTGGTTTGATCTGCTTGTACCAATTTGACTCACCCTGCTACCATCCATGCGTCACGTGCAGGATGTGTTCAGCTAGAACACGTTGAGCAGTTGAGCCCCTCTTGGATTCATATCCTCTCAAGTCAAAATATGTCCGCGTGTTCGACCGTTCAGCGTGCACACGGGAAGGTAGCCGGAATCAGTTGGTACGATGAAACAATCTCAGAAAATGCAAGTCAACTGAGGGGGCAATTTGTTCGAACTGCAAATTCATAGGGCTCTAAAAGATATAATTGCTGGCAAGGATGTTTGCATGCTTTAATTTAACTCCCTTATGGTTTGTTGGTTGCAGTGCCCATGAACCTCTGTCGCTCCGGCAGCCCGGCAGGTCTCCGAGAATGTCGCCCTCTAAAACCAGGGGAGGCCACCTAAGGCATCCCAAACTGCTTGCTGGAGTTTGGAATCTGGTGTCCAACAAATATCCCCTGGTTTGCTTCATTCGAACATGCCTAAGGTCTTTTTTAACGGTGCATCCCATTGCCGCTGCCATCAAGCAGGAAGCCTTTCTTGGACATCCCGTCACCACTGTGCCAGCTTCCCGACGCTTTCATCAGCCGTTTCAGGTGGCTGGTTTGGAGGTGCGGAGATGTGTATTGCCACTGGGATGCTTACTCAGCCTTAATCTCATGTAAAACCCACGATATCACAGACAAACTGATGGGAAATAAACCACCCACCCATACCCTGGTAAAATTCCGCTCATACGGTGTCTCTGCTTTTAGTGAACCCAATGTTGGTCACTTTTAAGGGGAAACCAAAAGGAAAGCCAAAGCCACTTTTGGGAGGGTTGCCCAATTTAAGGAGAGACCAACCCAAACCGCCTCACCTGACCGCCCAAGGAAAATGCTTTGGTTTGCGATTCGGTCCTCCGCCGGAAGTCCTCCATCAGGAACTGCCACTCGAAGACCTCAGGGCGAACGAATCGCTGAGAGAAAGAGCCTTAGCTCGTGGCTGTCTCCAAACTCTGGGGATGGGGTGCTCGATTCGTCAAGTTAAGTTGGAAACCAAGTCCGGTTCTGACCCACGCACAAGTCCCAAGTCCCAAGTCCGCTGCTAATCGTGGGCAGAAGTAGGTTGTTGGTAACCCAGGCACAGGGGTCACAGGATTCCCCAAATCACAAGTCGAAATCGATTTACTGGTGGGTTCCCTTGTAACGATCGCCCCTTTTGGAGGTGACCCAAAAAGGGACATGGAGGAAACTCTGTTCTAACCCACTCATAGGTCCCAAGTAGAAGTAATCGCCTGTTAATAGTGTGTTGGCTAACCAGTTACCAACTTGTATCCAAGTGGGTGAAACTGTGGATAGTTGATGGACGAAATCCGCTTCGCACCGGTTGGGATGGATGAAGGCCTACGAAAGTTGGGATTAACCACCAACTGGTGCAGGATTCTGTCTGAACAGAATCAACCGACATGTCCTTCACATAGGGGAATTGTGCCATCTACCCACAGCGGCAACCTGGTGGATTCTGAATCCCATTTCATTACCACTGTAGGTAACCAAAGATTGTCCTTGCGGTTGTCAGGTGGTTCCGCTGGTTACCTACTACGTTGGTTAATGGGATGTGCTGGGAATGCGCATTCACTTTTTGGACCTGGTTTAGAACCTTCTTCCCAAGGCATGACCTTGGTTCAAAGGTTTAAAACGGAACACCATTCAGGGCCCTCTCTTGGAAGCAAAGAACTGGCACCCGGTCCCCCTCAAAAAGACTGGACTCGTGTCTCTGTGCAGAAAAGGGAGTCGGACCCCCCCCCATTTGAGGCTCGGCGTCCTTTTGCGGTCCAAAATGAGCCAACTTGAACAGGGTCGCCTAATGGGGGGGGGCCGGGTTACAAAAAGACCACTCTTGGAACCCCGGAGAAGATAAAGTTATGCATGCGTGTCCTTTGAAACATCGGCGTTCCCTTGCGAAAATACTTCTTGGGGCCCGTCATGTTCCAATCTCTTGGCCGAGAAAAATGTCCATGGCGGTGGCCCTTGGACAGTCGGGATTTTGGCCAAGAAAAGCAGTAGCTGGGGGTTGGTTACTGGTCCTCTGTTTCCTTTTGCACACCTCAGGGCAAAAGAGCCCCTTGGTGGATAATTCTGCCCTTTGGCTTCAAAGGTGTGACTCCTTGCTCCAAAAGTATCGCGGTTTGGCTCCGGTGGAGATACCGGTCTAAGACCAGCATCGACCACAACCAGAGATGAAGAGGGACAAAAAACAGACACAAGCGTGTTCGCAGTTCTTGACTGTGTCCTCGCTCGTGGGAAAAATAACACCAGTTTCTCCAAAAGTGAAAAGCTCAAGTTCCAGGTTTCCCTTCAAACCAAGCTGAAAAAACGGTTGCAGCCTCCCCTCCCCACCCCCTCCCCACTCCCCACCCCCCCACCCCCCCACCCCCCCACCCCCCACCCAACTCCCCCCCCCCCCCCCCCGACGATCGCATTTTTCGGGCCCAAGGGTGCCAAGGGGCGATCTCCGGCTTGGGGGACATGCCGTGGATCAGCAGCACCGTGGCCGTGGCTTTGGCACCCACGGGCATCGAGACCAAGGCCTCCGCTTCCAGGCAGCTCTTGAGACCCGCGATCCATTGGATTTGAAGCTACCTGGATCGATCCAGTTGCACTAACCCCCCCCCCCCAAAAAAAAAAAACAGCAGTGACTGAAAGAAGCGAGCGCAACTTGGCTATCTAGGTATTCCTTTTTTGGGCGGTGTCAAAATGAAACTGAACGGACAACCCAAGCCATTTGGGGGTCCGATTCCCAAAAAGCGACACACCCGTATGAAGAACCCGGGGTGCCAAACCGTACACCCCGCGTGTCGAAAAAAAGAAAGCACCTGTTCCGGGGCCTATTTGATCCGAACACCTGCGGTCACAATCTTGCTCGATGGCTCAATCCCCTGCCCGAAGCTGATCCTTTTGCTCCCACACGACACATGGCCTGTAACGCCCGTGAAAGGCTCGACGTCGGAAACTTTTTGACTCAGTCCTGCACCAAAAGCTTCACGACTTGCTGTTTGGTGGGAAAAACACATCATTTCGCAGAAAGTTGACGTAGAAGGATCCCTCCAAAGAGCAGCCAACGCTGGTCATTCATCCATGTCCAAGGTGCCAACCTTGATTTGCTTCCCTTGAATTGGTGGGGCAACCAGTTGGAGCTTGGTCAACCTTCAGCCCGAAACCTAGATCCAGACAACACAAAGTTGGACCCTGTCCCATGCCGGTCACAAATTGGCGTCCGTTTGGTTGGCTGATCCTAAATGTCCATCATCCACTATGGGCAAAAGCAGCTCCAAGAGCGAAGTTTGTCTAATAACTGAAGATCAAGGGTACCGAGCATTGACATTTGAGTCACACCACTTGTGTGTGTGTGCGCATCTTTTTTTTGGGCGCCACCCAAAACATGCATTTCGGGTTTTCTCCTTTTGGGGTCTCTTTTAAAACCAACTACAGGAGGCTCCTCATGCGTGTCGTTTTTTGGGCGCCCCCTAAACATGGACTTCGGCTTTTCTTTTGGGGTCCCTTGGTTCCTCAAAGAAAAGACACACCCACTTGGAGGATGAGGCCGAAATGAACCCCGCCTCCACTTTCCCCACGGGCGTGTCGATCTCCTGCTTCTCAACCTGAAGCAGAACTGCCCTGAAAATGGCGCAGGTTGAGTGGGAATGGTCCACAGCCTTGCGTTTCTCTGTATACTCCGTCGCTTTCTGCTCCCCTGCTAAAGGTTTAACTTTTAGTGGTTTAATGGAAAACCCATTAGTTGGCAAAAAGTTAAAGTCCTAACATCCAGGCAACATGCACCAAAGTATATGTATGCTCAAAAAAGAAGAAGTCCCCAGCTCAAGTGCGGACCCGGTGGATTCCCTTCCGCAAAAGTCTTCGGGCCTTTGGGTGTTCCCTTATCGAGGACTCCTCTCGATGGGCTTCCTGCTGGTCCTGGATCCTCCAAGCTTCGGCACTTCCGGCCAGGTATTGACTCTCCGAGGTTGAGAGGTCGACTCGGATTCTATCCGACTCGTTGCTTGCGACAGCCCGTCTCAATCGACATATCCCAAGACTTTGGGGGCAGGGTTTGAACTCTGCTTTGCTAGGCGGTGATCGAGATGTAGATCCACCAAACTCGTCCTTCCAAAACACGAGACTATTGGATGGGGTTAGGGGTCGAGGGGTTCTGCTTTTCTTCTGTTAGTTGCGAAAAACCTGGTGAACATCCCACTTCAGAGAGGGGGTCAACCCACCGAACAAATACGGAGGACAGCAAAGACCACCTGGAAAAGGTTCTTAGTAACTTCTTGTCAACTACCCTTAGTTTGTGGTTTGGATCGGTGGTTTGGGGATTTGAACCCCTGGCTTTTGCAGTGGGTAAACGGGAAAACACCCCTCACCTCCAAACCACCAATCCAAACCACTAAGTGAAGGGAAGCTGATCTTAGAAGGATTCTTGGCGTCTTAGAACCCTTCTCTCTCCCTCAATTAAAGGTTATCAAGGATTATGCACTCCCGAAGACCCTAGTGTTCGCGCCTAGGATGACGCCATCCCTGCAAACGGAATCAGTTGGTGCCGTGGACAAGCTGATGTTTCCAAGATGACCCCAACAAGTCCTACGTAACATCCATGGAGAGAGCAGCATGTCCGCGTAGACTCGGCCGCTGCTTCGCTCGAATCGATCCACTTGAACCTGCACCTGTAGCCTTCCGCCCGCTTGTCAGGCAAATCGCTGCCAGGCTCTATCTACTCGCGCGGCCAAGACCCTGCTCGATCCGGCTCCTATGCACACTGCCAATCTTGAAAAAAAAACAGAAACCAGATTATTCGAGGCGAAGCACCAAACCTGCTTGGGGAATAAAATTAAAATGTTGTGTGTGTGTGTGTTTCTTTTTGAGGGGACGGGTTTTAACGGGAAACCTCCAGGAACAGGCCCTTTTCGGGGAGCCTCTACTTTAAGGCAATTCCAAATGGCGACATCGCAAGGAGCTCTACGACCCGGGCTCAGTCGGAGTCTACCGAGGTCATGCGGATCTTGGACCGCGCGGACTCGTCCTCCAGCCATAGGAACTGGGGCTCCGGCATGCGCCTGGACTGGAGCCAAGATGTGGGTGGCTGGTTTTTGCTTCTTTCTTTTTTTTGTTCATATTTGTTGGTTGCTTTAAAAGGACACCAGGAAAATCGAAGCCCTCTTTGGGGGTCTACAAAAATGACGAGCGTGAACTTTCAACCCGGGGCAGGGTGGAGGGGCTTTCCACTTGAAGATCAGCTTAGTGGACTTTACGGGCGCTATGGGTTCCCCTGTTTCGAGCGGAGCGGAAGTCAAAACCCAAGGGGAGCGGAAGTGAAAACACATCCGCCGGGTTGTCTCCGGATTAATAAACTATGGGGGTGTCCCTGGTTTTAGTGCATATTTATCACTTTTGGAGGGGAACACCCTATTATCCGTGGACAACATGAACCAACCTGCTTGCTTGCACCTCACATGATCCCAACACCGCAAGAGACCATCGCCTGGACGCAGAAGCATGACGGGGCACGATGACAAAAGCAGCTACAACATCGCGTTAGCACAAGGAACCCCGCCTTTTTGTTTGCTAACCTTTTCCAAATGGACACCGCCGAATCGCAGAACCTGGGCTTTTGGCTTCCGCTGCTCTCTTTATGTGATGTGTCTCTTGCGTGGCTGGGGGCCAAAACAACATATATTGGGCCCGCGTGGTCCATTTACTGCAGCAAGAAACCTGGGGTTGTTGTAGGCCGGCTACAAAGCTGCTTAAGTTGCTAGATCCTGGGCCGAACACTCAAATGCCTATGGTAATTTATCCATTCTCTCCAGCAATCATTCTTCTTGGCACCTTAAACACCCAGCGGAAACGACTGATGGTTGGAAAGAACACAATCAACCCTCAGAAATTGAATCATGAAGTTGTATCAATCCTCAGAAGCCTCCCTGGTGACGGATGAATCCTTCGTCCTAGTGGTTGGCAAGCGCATTTGCCCAGCCTCGGCCAGTAGTTCAGCCAAGGCGACATGGAGAGCATGGCTGGCACAACCAGTGTTCGAACCAGGAACGTGTCCTTGGACCAATCGCCACGCTGGGAAGGGGACGGGAGGTGAACGTTCGATCAGTTCATGTCTATGTCACAAAGCGAATCTTGACAACAAACCTCGCACTTGCCCACAGCAAGAAATCAAAATAAAAATCCCTTGTAGCTGTTTCGATCGACAAAGGGTTCTCAGCTTTCCGAGCGTCCACCACGATGCTGAAGACGAAGACGAAGCCCTGCTGGTTCATCATCGGAAGCTCCTGGCAACCCATCGAGGGGAAAGGACAAACCTTCGCTAAGACCAGGAAACTAGGCTGAAGCTTCCTGGAAAAAGAAACACGTTGGTCTCAGAGGATCGTAGCTTGACACTGAAAGAAAGGCCCAACTTTGGCCTTGTAAGCCCTGTGGCCTACTAAGAACTCCAAGGACGAATGTATCGTTGCTTTGAGGGTACCTGTTCTTGAAGCTAGGGAAACCAACAGGACAACCCCCAAAATGGCGGTCTCCTAAAGAAAAAATGACACACCCATACATTTCCGAGGAAGAAAAAAAACGCCTCGGCTCTTTTAGTTGGTCTCACTAACGGCTCCAGTCCATAGGCGCACCTCCCTTTGAAACGTCGGCATGGAACCCAAGAAACGTCCCATGGAGCCCAGCCGTCGCGGTGAAGGAACCGCGCTCGAGAAGAACATCTATGGTGAAGCCCTCTTTTCCCTGCTTCAATAAATATGGCCATGGGCTTTTCAAAACCCAAAAAAAGTACCGTGAACATCAACCAATCCCCAGCAAATCGACTAAAGTGGGTGGTGAATTCACCTATCCCAAAATGGTACCATTGGTTTTGAACCATGGCCATGTAACGTCATGTCCCTGGGGGCTGTGGCCGGTGCACCTACTATATACCTTTACATCTCCCTTATGTGCCCCTTCCAATTTCCGCCCACTTCAAGCGTGTTGGCTGAGCACCACCCGAAACCGATGTTATTCAAAGGAGCCTCCCAAAATTATCTTTGGGAGGACCCTTCAAATCTTAATGGGAGTGGATGGGCTTAACAAAGTCTGGCTTGCTTTTCCACTGAATCTGCTTTAGGACCCCCAAACAACAAAATGCTGTGTTTTTTTTTTTTGCGGGGTACCCTGCAAGAAAAACGAAAACGACTACCCTCAAAAAAACAACACACGTAGTAGCTAGTATCAAATCCAAACCAGTCAGGGTGTGTTTCTCTTAAGGAAATCAACTCATGTTCAGGGGACTCCTCTTCGTTCGGTCCTCTGGATGAATCCGAAGTTGACATCCCCAGGCGCCAACAATGATTGAAATGGGGCAGCCTTCAAATGGCAGGTTGGTTGTCCTAAACACAAGCCCAACAAGCGGAAACGCGGCAAATGTACAATTTGAAGGACCAGGTATTTTCGGGTTTCCGCAAATAAGGGGTGTGGGAATAAGGAGCTCTCCACCCCTCAACAACGGGATTCCTTGGAGGGAAAACACTAGGAAGCCAAAAGGACAACCGCCATTTCTGGATACATTTCCCCATTTGGGCACGTACCCATGCTCATGATTCAGCAACCAAAGCAAACCCACCCAAAACCAAGGGAAACATATCCCACCAAAATGGTCTTCCTACCCGTTGAAACCCGCCAAATGAACTCCTACTTTAGTTTAGAGCTAGTGGTTCCTTTTTGGGAGGTAACTCTCCTCGGTTGCTGTACAAAGTGGGGGCTTTCAAACAGCTTAGTATGTGTCGAAATAGTGCCATTCGAATCTCGAATTTCACGGCCCCCTTACGTTTTTGTCTCAAAGAAGAGCACCCCACCCCCACCAACAAAAGCCTGCTTTCCTTTTGATTTCCCTGGTTCTCACCAACCCTAAAACGGTGTACTGTACCGGGCCTCAAAAAAACACACCATCCCCCCCCCCTCCTCCCCCCCCCCCTGACCAAACGCGTTGAGAGACGAAAAGCCCACGCCACCTTCTTTCCCCAACCCTAAAACGGGTACTTGAATGTTCGATTCGACAAGTCAGTAAGTTGTTGGTAACCTAGGTGACAAACGCATAAATCCCCGTGTCGGAAAAAACAAAAAGAAAAACCCTTGACAGAACATCCAAGTGGTGTTGACCCCATATGAATCAACCCCAGTTTATCAATTGGAGTGTTCTCCTTACAAAGTGATGATTCCCCAGTAGACCCAGGGACACCCCATTTATGAGCTGGGCTTGATTCATCTGGGGAATCATCCCTTTCGGAGGGGGAACACCCCGTTTTGGTAACCTTGCCTTTTATTTCTGGGGAAAACTACTCAGCCACCCCAACCCCCAACCCCCCCCTCTCCCCACCCCGCACCTTCCCCCCCCCCCACCCACCTTCCCCCCCACCCACCTTCCCCCCCACCCGCCTTCCTCCCCCCCACCCTTCCCCCCCCTCCCCCACCCACCTTCCCCACCCACCCTTCCCCCCCCTTCCCCCCCCGATCGATCGATCTCTGCGAGGCGCCGAGGTGAGGATCAGCGCCAGGAAGGTGAGGCCCAGGATGAGCCCCGCCGCGCTGATGGTGCCCCCCGTGGCGGACAAGCCCAGCTGGATGC